TGGGCAACATTTGTGCTGCCAGACGCGGAGCAGTCGTGGCTAGCGATTGTGGTCGTAAAGTTGAATGGTCGTACATTGCATAGGTCGTAAGTCGATCAATACCTGTATACTGAACTGTTTTATTTCCTTAATTCTGTCATTTTTGCTTTATATGCCTTGAGGCTCTCTTCTTAGGTATGCATATATTTGTAGTTGTTATACTTCTTGATGGATTGATTCTTTTATCAATATACACTGTCCTTTGTCTTTAAGTCTATGTTGTGTGGTATTTATTTATTTTTAGACAGAGTCTTGCTTTGTTGCCCAGGCTGGAATGCAGTGCCATGATCTCGGCTCACTGCAACCTCCTCCTCCTGGGTTAAAGTGATTATCCTGCCTCAGCCTTCCGAGTAGCTGGGATTACAGGTACTTGCCATCACACCTGGCTAATTTTTGATATTTTTAGTAGAGACAGAGTTTCACCATGTTGGTCAGGCTGGTCTTGAACTCTTAACCTCAAGTTGTCCAGCTGCCTCGGCTTCCTAAAGTGCTGGGATTACAGGCATGAGCCACCGCACCCGGCCTATGTTGTGTGATATTTATATGGCCGCCCCCGCTTTCTTTGTTATCTTTTACATGGGATATCTTCTTCCATCCTTTCATTTTCAAACCTATTTGCATCTTTGGATCTAAAGTGAGTCTCTTGCAGATAACAGAGTTCGATCATGTTATTTTTAATCCACTTAGATTTAAAGTAATATCTGATAAGGATTTCTGCTATTTTGCTGTTTTTTCCTTTTTTCTCTCAATTCTTCTATTACTGTCTTCATTTGTGATTTATTTTTCCTTTTTTTTTTTTGCTTTTGAAATAGGGTCTTACTGTCACCCAGGCTGGAGTGCAGTGGTGCAATCTCTGCCCGCTGCAATTTCTGCCTCCCAGGTTCAAGCAATGCTTGTGCCTCCGCTTCTCGAGTAGCTGAGACTACAGGCTCATGCCACCATGCCTGGCTAATTTTTTGGTAGACAAGAGGTCTCCCCATGTTGGCCAGGCTGATCTCGAACTTCTGACCTCAAATGATCGGCCACCTTGACCTCCCAAAGTGCTGGGATTACAGGTGTGAGCCTCTGTGCCTGGCCTATTTTTTCTGATATATGGTTTTATTACCCTTCTTGTTTCTCTTTCTGTATTTTGTTTGTTTTTTCTTGGTGGTTACCTTGGGGATTACAGTTAACATCTTAGGTTTTTTGTTTTTTTTTTTTAATTTTGAGACAGAGTCTCGCTCTTGTTGCCCAGGCTGGAGTGCAGTGGCATGATCTCGGCTCACTGAAACCTCTGCCTCTCGAGTTCAAGGGATTCTCCTGCCTCAGCCTCCTGAATAGCCGGGATTACAGGCACCCACCACCACGCCTGGCTAATTTTTTTGTGTTTTTAGTAGAGACGGGGTTTCACCTTGTTAACTGGGATGGTCTTGATCTCCTGACCTTGTGACCTGCCCGCTTTGGCCTCCCAAAGTGCTGAGATTATAGGTGTGAGCCAGCATGCCCAGCACAATATCTTAGGTTTTTAACAATCATGTTTGAATTAATACCAGCTTAGTTTCAGTAGTATGCATAACTCTGCTCCTTTGCAGCTCCATCTTTGTATATTACATCTTTACATATTAAAATATATGCCCATTAACCTAGAATTGAAATTTTTGCTTTATGCATTTGTCTTTTAAATTATGTAGGAAAGAAAAGGAGAACTTACCAACAAAAACTGTAATACTACTGACTTTTATATTTATCTATGTAGCTACCTTTACATTGCTCTTTATTCATATGACTTCAAATTACTGTCTAGTGTTTTTTCATTTTAGCTTGGAGGATTCTCTTTAGCATTTCTTATAGCACAGGTCTAGTAGTGATGAATTCCTTTACTTTTTGTTTATCTGGGAATGTCTTAAGTTCTCCTTCATTTTTGAAGGGCAGTTTTGCTCAATGTGAAATTCTTGGTTGGCTCTTTTTTTTTTTTTTTTTTTTTTTTTTTCCTGCATCACATTCTGTCCCCTCCCCAGAGCTTATTGCTGCTTATTGTGAGTGGTTATTGTTCGCTTGTTTAGTGACTTTTCTAAACTATTTTTGTAAGGTCTGTAATTCCTGGTCATGTGTGGCCACTGAAGTCTGTTCCATTTGCTTAGTAATCAGCTAGCTAGTGTTTTGACAGAGTTTCCTTAAACACTTGGAGTCAACAACAACAACAAAAAATCTCTCCCATCTTTGAAGATGGCTTTATGGCTTTATTGTCAAAGTACTCTTTGACCACTTAGTGAAGCCATTTATAATTCTGCCTTAGCCTTTGCTTACTGTTTGCTCAAAGCCTGAAGATCAGCCAGGGTGAAAGCTTAGGTCTTCTTGGGCCTTTTTTGGGCCTTTTCTGAATTTGTGTCCAGCCCTGGCCATGTGCACGTCCTTCTTGATTGGTAGACACATCCCTTATTACCCCATGTATATCTTTTCCCATCCTCTTTCTGTCCAGGCTTTTCCATCAGCCTGTTCCTTGTCCCAGTTGTCCGTTGCCCTGGACTGCTGCATCAATTAAATAAGTTTGGCAAAAACCACCCAGGAAGACTCCCTGTCCCCTGGGAATGATCCAAGTCAGGCAAAGCCAAAGCAAGCCATTGCTGAGGTCCTTAGGGAGCTGCCAGACAAGTTGAAACTAAAATCACAGTTGTTTAAGGTGTGTATTGCTTCCTCTGGCATTAAGAGTGCAGGTTACTATCCACATAGTCATCACTGACTTGGGGTGTGGGGAATAGTGGGCAGGCAATTTAGGATGTTATAGCACTCTGTTTACTACAAAGCAGCAACTCCTTTATTCACTAAGTCTTGCCCTAGATTTTATTTATTTATTTATTTATTTATTTATTTATTTCTAGATTCCAGAGTTCTGCAAAAGTTGAGTCTGACAATATTTACCAGCTCATTAATTGCATTAATTGCTTTTTGCAGAAATGGTGCCTTGGAGTTCTGTACTCTGCCATTTTTGGTGGTATCATCCCAAATGTAGGGATTTCTCAGAAGGTTATCGTTAACCAAAAGTAAGAAAATTAGGAAGGAAGAAGTTGATTTATGGGTATAGAATATATTATTTTTATTTGGATATGAGTGTTGGGTTTGAGGTACTGATGGCACAATCTGTGGGTGTTTAGTGACACTGGGAATTGTAGTGTCTGAATTCTAGAAAGGTGTTAGAGCTGCAAAGAGATCTGGGAACCTTCTGCACAGAAATTATAGAAAATGAAAGTGTATGATTTCCTTGGAATAGAGAAGAAGGTCAAGTATGGCATCTTGCAAAACACTTTCAACTAAGGATTTATTCATTTATTCATTCAGCAAACATTCCTTTGTTCCTATTATTGATGCATGTACTACTAAGCACTGGAGATAGAAAGGAATTAAGATCTAGTTTTCTGCCTTCAGGAAGTTCATTTGTACTTATATTAAGGAAGATAAGTAAAGAAGCACAATGCAGTGTCATAATAACAAGGTTAGAGGAGTCCAGACAGAGGCAAACAAGAATATGTAAACAGGTCAGAAAAGAAAATAATAAATTTAGGGAAGTCAAAGAAGGAGAAAACATAATGGAGAAAGTGGGCTGTAACCTTGGTTGCTGCATAGAGAGTTTGAAAAGGCTGAGGACTCTGAAAGTTACTGATTTGGCCATAAGGATAGATAGATGACATAAGAATGATTTTGGTTTTAATTGAGTAGTTTTGATAGAGTGTTGCAGACAAAGGATCAGATTAGATTATAAGGAGTTAGGAGTGTGAGTGGTGAAAAAGCTGTGGGAAAAGAGAAAGACAACTGTTAAAAGAGTGGTGTAGTTTATTCTGTGGGAAAATTGGACCAATTAGAGAAAAAATAAATTACCAAATGTTACAGTTTAAAAGTTGGAGCAGAGTTAAAATAACTTCATTTTGGAGTAGAAAAGATTGGAGTGTGTTTTTAGACAATTGAAGGGGCTGAATAGGAAGGAAAACACGGATGTTGAGTCCCAAAAGAGTCACGAAAGATAGTATTAAGATCTTAGAAGAATCAGATCTTAGAAGATTTGGAGACTTGAGTGAAGAAAGAGAGTGAGGATAATGAGAGTTTTGAGACAAAAGGAATTTGAGAAGTTTTACCTAGGGAAGCCTCAGTTTTCTAGGTAAAGTAAAACATAAAATCACACACTAAGACATGGGCAGCAGTGAAAATGCCTGACAGAAGTTGATATAGCATACATTTGTGTTGATAGTACCATTTGGTGATTTTGTCATTTCAACACATAGTATTAAGCATTTACTGTGTACTAAGCACTGTATGAGATCCTTGGGATTTTATCTGTAAACAAACAAAAATCCCTGCCTTTGTGGAGGTTACATGTGACTAGGGTAAGGAAAGAGAAACAAGTAAGTAATATTTTTGAATAAACATATGAGGTAAATAGAGGTACCTGGGTCTGGGAACCAAGAAAGCAAATGGGAAGATTAGCCAGACATAACTGCAATTTTATATTGCATATCATATTCTAATTTAAGATATAAATAATTTTGTTTCTGTACAGCTCATTGTAAAATCTAGCTTGCTTAAACTAAGACAAGAAGAGTATGAGTATGTTGGAGCCTTTGTATACTTAGATTGTGGCTATGAGAGAAATAATCTATGTTTACATTAAGAGAAAATTCATTAATTTAGGACAACTTTATAATTGTTATATAGTTATTTCAGGGCCTTTGACGAGAAAATATAAGGTGAACTGTCATAATAACTGAAATTAAATATTTATTTAAGAAAAATAGTATTTGTACCTCATTGCCAAAAAGATGATTTAACCACATAGAAATTTGTTATGTTTAAAAGTTTAAAAAGTCTATGTGGAGTTGAAAATCACTTTGTAATTATGAATAAATTGGTTTGTTTTTTTTTCTTTCTTTTTTTTTTTTTTTTGTAATCATTGTTTTATATTCTCTTCTCATGGCACTTTTTGATTTAAACAGGCATTGGAAAAGTGAAAAGAAAACCTAGTGTGCCAGATTCTGCATCTCCTGCTGATGATAGTTTTGTTGACCCAGGGGAACGTCTCTATGACCTCAACATGCCCGCTTATGTGAAATTTAACTACATGGCTGAGAGAGAGGATGAATTATCATTGATAAAGGGGACAAAGGTGATCGTCATGGAGAAATGCAGTGATGGGTGGTGGCGTGGTAGCTACAACGGACAAGTTGGATGGTTCCCTTCAAACTATGTAACTGAAGAAAGTGACAGTCCTTTGGGTGACCATGTGGGTTCTCTGTCAGAGAAATTAGCAGCAGTCGTCAATAACCTAAATACTGGGCAAGTGTTGCATGTGGTACAGGCTCTTTACCCATTCAGCTCATCTAACGATGAAGAACTTAATTTTGAGAAAGGAGATATAATGGATGTTATTGAAAAACCCGAAAATGACCCAGAGTGGTGGAAATGCAGGAAGATCAATGGTATGGTTGGTCTAGTACCAAAAAACTATGTTACCATTATGCAGAATAATCCATTAACCTCAGGTTTGGAACCATCACCTCCACAGTGTGATTACATTAGGCCTTCACTCACTGGAAAGTTTGCTGGCAATCCTTGGTATTATGGCAAAGTCACCAGGCATCAAGCAGAAATGGCATTAAATGAAAGAGGACATGAAGGGGATTTCCTCATTCGTGATAGTGAATCTTCGGTAAGTTGATTTTCAGAGGCAAATACAAATAGAGTTCTGGGTATTTAAAGAAAGAGAAGTGGAGAGGTTAAGTGGCTTCCCTAAACTTAACCAGGTAACAAGCTGGGACATAACATAAGCATAAATGTTTCAAAGTTAAAGTTAGCATTCTTTCTAGCTATATATTTTGAATAAAAGAGAGCTGTGGCAGTGATGCTACACACTGGATTATTTGGTCTTGTCTAGTTCTGTTGATTTTGCATTCCTATTTTCTGTTGCATTAAACTAAATGGACAAAATGGAACATTGGCTTCTTCATTGAAAATAGAATAATACTATAGATTAAATTGGGAAACATTTAAAAAATTGCTATTGGATGCATTGTGTAAGAAAATAGTCACTGTAGTCTTTATGACATAGGAAATCCCTGAATTAAGAAAAATTGATACTAAGTTTCTTCATAAATTGGTTACTTGGAAGTCGGAATACACCTTTATTTTATTATTATTTTTTTTGGAGTGCAATGGTGCAATCTTGACTCACTACAACCTCTGCCTCCCAGGTTCAAGGATTCTCCTGCCTCAGCCTCCTGAGTAGCTGGGATTACAGGCACAGGCCACCACACCCAGCTAATGTTTATATTTTTAGTAGAGATGGGGTCTCACCAAGTTGGTCAGGCTGGTCTCAAACTCCTGACCTTGTGATCCACCCACCTCAGCCTCCCAAAATGCTGGTATTACAGGTGTGAGCCACTGCGCCGGGCCGGAATACACTTCTATAATAACCTCAAAAACTATTTTAACACTGTGTTTGAAATGCATTTGTGTTGAGTCCCCAAAAGAGTCGTCATATTGCAATACTAGTAAACAATAAAACTATAAAACCATAAAAGTTGAAAAATAATATGGTTTTGTGGTCTTTTTTAGATATTGTGTAGGCTATTAGAATTTGATGACACTCATTTTCCTTAAAAATGGCTTTTCCTTGATAAAAGATAACACTACTTTTCCACGTATTAAATCATTAATCTTGGCTTTGTGTAAGTATATTTGTACAAAGTGAATGTGTAATTGCACAAAATGTTGAAAGAAAGAAAATGTGTGGAGGTGGGGTATGGTGGGGAGAGAGATTAATTCAACTTCTTGATGTGAATTTCAGGAAAATGGGGCCTGTACCTAATCCCTCAGAAAAGCAGTTGGTTGGTAGTAAAGAAGAGTGATGACATCCATTTTGTTAGATGTTTGATCTGGCTCACTGTTTGAAACTTTGGGAGTAATTGTAGAAAAAGAGGCTTTGGGGATTGATAAAGACTATAACAAAAAACAAATACCGAATTAAAAAGAAAATAGTTTGAATGCAGAATTGTGTGTATTGGCTTGTGGGTAATTCAGCATAGATATTAGACAAAATACAATATATACCATTATTTGTAGCAGTGTACTTTTTAAGGTTAGAGGTCTCAAGTAGGCATATTTTGCTTAGCCTTCACATGTTTTTTAAACATTTAAATTCACTGCTAATATTTAAATGTTAGGATATTTATTATAAAAATTCAGGCTTTAGACTTATTTATTATAAAAATTTAGACTTTAGACCATTTAAAATGGGAAGAACTACTGACATTGAGATCCTGTTCCTTCAAGGCAACAATCACAGCTGAGAAGTCACTAATTCCTTTAGATTGGGGGGGAAAAAAAAGAATACATTATTCTTTTGGCTCTTCTTGTAGGCATTTGAGTTTGTGGCCTCTCCTTAAAGTTTAGATTCACTCTCATTTGTGTGTTCCTCATTGTTGAGAAATCAGCCTATTATCCTGAAGACAGATACTGTTAGCTACACATTGAAAAGGGGTTGGGTGGATATCTTAGACTTTCTCATGTGTTTCTCCAGTAGTCTGGAGAGAAGATAGCTCTTGTTCTTCAAATATTTAACTAAAGGAGGATTTCCTGTGAGTGTCTGCTGGTAGAGCGGTGAGTGTTAAGAGACTTTTGATTATGCAGGTTTGAATCCTGGCTCTGTTGTTAACTAGATGGATGACATTGGCCAAGTTATTAATAGCTTCTCTGACACTCAGTTTTCTCATCTGTAAAAAGAGTTTGTTTTGAGGAGTGAAGGAGATAATCTATAAATAATTTATCATGGTGCCTAGAACTTAGTAAGTGCTTAAGTTTTAGCTTTTAGTTTAATATAAAAATACTGATAGATGGCTTTCAGATGTTTACTATATGTATTTTTTTTCTCTTTTAGCCGAATGATTTCTCAGTATCACTAAAAGCACAAGGGAAAAACAAGCATTTTAAAGTCCAACTAAAAGAAACTGTCTACTGCATTGGGCAGCGCAAATTCAGCACCATGGAAGAACTTGTAGAACATTACAAAAAGGCACCAATTTTTACAAGTGAACAAGGAGAAAAATTATATCTTGTCAAGCATTTATCATGATACTGCTGACCAGACGTGACTGCTGCATAGCTGTAATTTAACGTGTAATTGAACACTGAGAAAATGTTGGGTCCAGTTGTGCTTGATTGGAAATTGCTGTTTCTAATTCTATATGAGAATGACTATAATAATATTTTTATTATAACTCAGCCCATACATATATACTATGTATGCAGTGCATCTGCATAAAATAATTCCTTATCCTTGGTCTTCTGTTTTATTGTTTTCTTCTTTGCTGTTTTTGCTTTGCTTCTAATATTACTGTTTTGTATTTTGAAAAAAAAAAAAAATCAAATAATGCAGATCAGAATCTTTATATGGAAGAAATCCTTTATTGCCTTTCCTTTATTTCCTTGTAAAGGAACCCTGTTAGTTCTGTTATGATCTCTCTTTATATAAAATTATTATATCTATATATGACATATGCTAAAATAAATTTCTTGGAGAGTGTTAATTTTTTCTGTGACTAAATAGCAATAATAAATGGAAAATTAGAAATTATTTCCAGGTATTATATTTGTCACAGGTCATTGTAACCAAGTATATTGTGTCTGCCATGATTTTTAAAAATTCATTCATTGTCTTCAGTCATACAGCAAGACACATGAGACATAGGTTAGAAAACCTGTTGTACAATTTTAATTTACAACTGTTGGAAACAAAAATCACTAAATTCTTCATTTTTTTTTTCCAGTGCTTCTCCCTCATCTGGTTATTCAAGAAAACAAAACAGTCTCTGAGATAATTTAGCTTTTCTTTCTTTCTTTTCTTCTTTTTTCTTTTTTTGAGACAGGTTCTTGCTCTGTTGCCAGGCTGGAGTGCAGTGGCGCCATCTTTGCTCACTGAATCCTGGGTTCAAGCGATTCTCCTGCCTCAACTTCCTGAGTAGCTGGGATTACTGGTGTGTGCCACCACACCCAGCTAATTTTTGTATTTTTGGTAGAGATGAAGTTTCACTATGTTGGCCAGGATGCTCTTGATATCCTGACCTCATGATTTGCCCCTCAGCCCCCCAAAGGTGTTGGGATTACAGGCTGAGCCACCATGCCCGACCTAGCTTTTCAAACTGTAAATAGGTGCTCTAGTGTTATTTTTTTTTTTCTTTATCCCTCTTGTATTATTTTAGCAAAGCATCTTATATTAGGACATGTTATATTTATGCCAATGTGAAATAAGTTACGGCCAAGTTTTGCAAAAATAGGAGGCAGTGAGATACGTGGTTTTTTTCTCCTCACTAAATATCAGTAATTGTCAGGAATAGTATTACCTATTTTCATTTCCTCTTCAGCTTTGAGTTTTGTTGATCTGGACACTAAAACTGATGTATACCTGAGGAAAATATAAAATGTGCTCATGGTTAGGGAAAATCACGTTATTTTTAATTTTTTTTTTTTTTTTTAACAAGTAGGAATTTGGGTGTATGGATGAGAGGCTAATCTACTTCCGTAACAGGCCATAGAAGAAAACCAGTTGCATTTTATGGTAATAATTTGTACTCCCATTATTCTGGAGACTTAAGTTTAAGCAAAGTAGCCATCAGTATTTTAATTGAAAAATACTAAAGCCACATAACTGAGGAGGATGTCATGTTACTTTCAACAAATTCCTTAATGCTGCCTAAGCATATGGATGTTTTAATTATTTGCTGGTTATAAACAGATATCTAATACACCAGAATAACTGATGGTAAAACTGTGTAACTTGAAATTTTTTTCATCAATGTGTTAAATAATTATTTAAATCTTAAAATCATTTAAAGACAACGTTGCCACTGGGTGGCAGCCATGGCTTCTCTCATGGCAACAGAAGTGAACAAATATAATTAAGACAAATTTGCATCTCTATTGCATCTGCTTTTAAAACATTTTAGTTCATATTCCATTATTTTTCTAGATCAATATTCCTTTGTTTATTAAGGGTAATTATTAGTAGGCAAGTTTTTCATGGAAATGAAAATCATGTATGCTTCTCTTTGCTGTAAAATCAAATGCATATAAATTGAGGAAAACTGTTTAAATGGCTGTAGGATGACTAGGTAGTAAATATCATCTTAATTTTTAACATATATTTGATGATGCTTTCCTTTTATTTGCTGTTATGTTTCTGGGTTTTTCCCAGTCTTATGAAAAAAAATATATGTTTGTAAAAAGAGAACAATTAATGCTTTGCATCACAGACATGAACTATTTGTAGTAAACTCCACTGAGCTGATATTAATAGAGCAGACTTTTGAGAAAGTAGAAATGTAGTAGCACTGGAAACAATGCATATTTCTGTTCCATAATTAGGTTTATTGTTGCTGTAGAGCTCCCAGATAACCCATGTGTACCAGTAATATCTATTAGTGTGCTCTTATTATGGTATAAAAACTATAAAAACCTCACTGGGAGCTTATTTTCTACTTAAACATTTTACCAGTTTTTAAAAAGTCTTAAACCAATGCTTACACCAGTGACTGTTTTTATAATGCTTGAAGTAATTTTAAGAACTGAAACAAGCATAGAAAACATCTAAATAGGTAGATAGTAATAATAATACTTGTATTAGAAACCAAGCTTCCTGATTCCCAGCCTGGTGTCTATATCATGACACACTACCCTATGTATGCTTGGTTTTAGACTAGGAGGAGGGTCCGAGGAAGAGCAATATTACAGAAGTTTTCTTCCACATGAGGAGTATGCTTAATTGCAAATTTAAATACATGTAACAGATGTAACCCTGCCTAACCCACTTCTACAAATAACTTCTCCAAAATCTTGGAAGAGGTTTTTTAGAACATTATATAAGCTTTATAACAAAAACCATTGCCATCGTGTCCCTTATTTAGTCATAAATCCTTAGGATTTAGCTGAATATATACTCACACATGTATATTACAAATATATCACTATACAGTTAACACATGCACCTTGCACTATTAGAGACAGTATTGCTAAACAAAATAGGAAGGCTTAATGCCATCTATTGCCATTGCTAGAATAATTAAAAGGCCTAGCAGATGAGCAACTTGGGTTGTTAGAATAAGGTCATTCTTGTAGAATATGGCCCCCTTATCTTTACCAGTGCACATGGTGAAAAATTCAAACAGTAAAATAAAGTCTCCTCCTTTGAAGTAAAAATATAGAGACGAATCTCTAAAACGTTTTATTTGGGAAGCAAGAATTGCAATTCAGGGCATATACACAGAATGAGTAGTTTTTAGTATACCCAAAGAACAGAGAAGGTTGAGAGTTTTATTATAAAGAGAAATGTTACATCCGTTTTGAAAGAAAATTCATTGGCTCTAGAGAAGTTTTTGGGAATTGGCAAGCTCTGATTGATGTGTGACAGTGGTAGGTAAAACCAGTCTTAGAGCCACAGCAGCTACTAGGTAAAACTGGTCTTAGGGCTTACAGCAGGCTCTTTCAGTAGCCAGACTTGTGGAAAACTGAGTTCTTGGAGCTGCTGCTATGTCCTCTGAGTGCTTTTTCCCCCAGCCCATTAACTCTGATTTGGTTGGGTGTGACAAGAACCCTTATCCCCCTAGTTGAGATCTCCAGATGCAGTTTACTCTCCTATTTTTCCTGAAACACGGAAAGTTTTGTGTTTGGAATCTGAAAATCATCATTTTTTTCAGAAATATTCAATTACATTGTCCAATAAATTAGGAGTGTGGCATTACAGTACTAAGTTTTCCATTTTAATACTTTGCTAGAAGATCTTAAGGGGTCCTTTATAATCTTGCATTTATATAGATCTTTTAACTTTCCAAATGGCTTCACAATCAAGGTCACTTTTTTCTTAAAGGACATTTGGTGTAGGATAGATGCTATCTTAATTTTATGTTTTGAACAGCACCCTTTTTTAAAAGAATGCCAAATTACTGTTTCTGAAGAGACACATTATCAGAAGCATTGGCTTGCTACTCAATTCTGATAGGCTGGTTCTGTTAGTGTTTAGCAAGTTTTTGTGACTCAATTCTCTGCTATCTTTTAAACACTTGACAGACCAGCTTGATACGTATTCCCCACACCCTAATTTCTTGCTGTTACATGATCTAAACCAAATAATTCAGGAACTGAAATGTTTATTTCTAGTTTACTAATGCGGTGCACCTTTTATCTGAAAGTATGCAACAATTTGCTGAGACTTGTTTAATGAGTAGAACCTAAGTTGAACTTGTTGGGGTTTTGAACAGGAGGAGTTTCAGCTATCAGCCACCATGTTCACAGAGGGAAATGTTTTAAATTAGTGTCTTCTGATGGGTTAAATTAGATTTCTGAGGTAGTTGTTTTGAATAAATTTCTGTGCTCAGATAATTTATATCTTAGACTATGAAGAAACTTTTCAGATAAATAGTCTTCATGAAATTATTATTTATTTTTTTTTGAGACGGAGTTTCGCTCTTGTTACCCAGGCTGGAGTGCAATGGCACAATCTCGGCTCACTGCAACCTCCGCCTCCTGGGTTCAGGCAATTCTCCTGCCTCAGCCTCCTGAGTAGCTGGGATTACAGGCACGCGCCACCATGCCCAGCTAGTTTTTTGTAGCTTTAGTAGAGACGGGGTTTCACCGTGTTGACCAGGATGGTCTCGATCTCTTGACCTCGTGATCCACCCGCCTTGGCCTCCCAAAGTGCTGGGATTACAGGTTTGAGCCACCGCGCCCGGCTTCATGAAATTATTGAGACTAAAAGGTGAATTCCAGAATGGGACTGTTGTGTTGTCTATTTTAGGCTAAACAGGAATGGTTATTAAATTGATATTTTTTGAGTACTTATGAAGGAAAATTAGTAATCCTTGAATAAGGATGGTTTCTCTTGGAGAAGTAATGTAAAACTTGATGTTCTATAGACTTAATAGACAAGGGGATGTTACAGAGAATAAATTCATCAGGGCATATGACAATGTCGAGGACATTTTTTTTGAGCTGTTACATCTCTGTATATGATTGTATGTTTAAATAGTTTTTGGAGATACTCATAATCAGTTTATCCAACTCGCCTCACGTATTTTGTTGCTGAGCTGAGACTATTTTAGTAATGGAAAAGAAAATGGAGAAATTTTTCATAAATTTCATAAAATTTATATTTTAGTGATGTAATACCTAATGGAGAAGAGCTCTGAATTAAAATTTTAAAATAGAGCAAGTTGAGGGTTGAAGAGTGAGGGTGAGGGTGTTAATTAATATAGGACAATAAAAAGAGGCCTCTGATAAAATTGACCTTTAAGCATACTGTGTGCTCCACTTAATAGAATCACTGATGACTAGGAGCAACCAGTGACTGAGTAAAATACAGCAACCAAAATCATTTGAAAATTATGTAGAGCGTCACTATTATAGAGCTTTGTTTCTGGTTTTCAGATTGTAAATTTGCCTAAAATAGTATTTGTTTTATTGAAATGTGGAACATTTAATTACAGAAGGCTATTCTGAATAAACCCTGATTCTCCATCTTAAAAGGAGTTTTTTGGGGGGATGTCAGATAGAAAAAAATAATTACAGAAAAAGGATAGTTTGGCCAACTTAAGAGTTCTAATTAATCACACCCTAAAGGAAACCCTGGATGTTAAATTTCTGATGACCAGACAATAAACATTTGGGGGAGGAAATTGAAAAACTGCTGTTTAGAAGGGAAAAAGGAATGCAGGAGCCCTGAAAATTAGAGTCTAAAAGTGTGTAGAAATTCCACATGGAACAGACTTGGTGGAAGCATGAATTAGAAGTCTAAGACAAGAGGAATTCCGCTATTTAAATTCCCTGTGTTACTTCTAGAAAGAAAAAATTGAGACAGTTTCAACTAAATGTCACAAGTGCTAAAACACAGAACAAAGCTATTTAAGAATCAATGCACACTATTCTGTGTTAAGTAGGGGAAAGGAAGGTTACTGGAATGTGGTAGTTGACCACATAGTTCATTCCAGAACACAGGGCCTATCCTGGACTTGCACAACCCTAAGAGTGAGTGCCTCAGAGTTTGCACCCTAGGTGCTTCCCTTAATTTTAGTCCTGGCCCTGCAGGACACAGAGAGCTTAGGGGTCTTTTCTTTGGCCACAAAACTTCCCATCCCTCCCCATTGCCTCTACCTTTTCATAAAAACCTTTTCTCTGCTTGCTTTTCTTTCCATAATTAAATATCAGAGATTTAAGTGTCAGTGTAATAGAGGAAAAAGAATCCTATTTCTGAACTGTACCTGCTTATAGGAAATAGGTCTATTCTTCCAGAGGTTTTTCTTCTGACATGGATGATCCTCCAACTCTGTGGAAGGCACCACAGATTAACCTGAGAAGTGCAGGAAACAGAATAGAGAATAGTTTGGTTTTGGCATGTTGCACAGACAAGACATTATAACTTCTCTTTCTATAGAAGAGCACCTCAAAGCCAGAAGAGAAAGGGAAAATTAGGGTCAGGGATTGTCCGGGAATGTTAGGGGCTAGCCGGTGAGGTACAGCCCTCCAGAAGTCCTCACCCAATGATACAGCCCAGGCAGAGGTGGGTGGTCTGAGTTACTGGGTCATGACCCAGGCTTGAAAAGGATTATTGTTCAAAAACTATGACAGGCAAATGGCATTATCTCTCAGCACCCCTTGAGGTGAGGGGTGCTGAACCCAGGGCAGACTCTATGCAATGGCTTATGAAGGATTAGCAGGTAGTACTGTCTTACCAGAGCATGGCAGTGCTGGACAGGAGTATCTTGACAGGGACCCATGAGCAGGTGGAGCTAACTATCCATCTTAACACTTCAAAGTTTGGTGAACAACTTTTCTTCCCCAACAGCATAGCTAAATGAGTCTTATTCTTTTTTCCATTTTCTCCTTGTACTTTCCTTTTCATCCTCTAATTCAGCCTATATGCCCCTCTACCTTTTCATCCTTGCTCATATTAGAAGGAATGCTGAATGGTGTGCATCTCTCTCCCCTACCCGCATCTAACTGGTACATCCTTGGAACCCCATATTGAGGTCTGCCTATTCCCTAAAGCCTTTGCTAATCTGTTGGATCACTTCTCTGTGTCTTTCAGACACTTTGAAGCATGCTTTTGATGTTGACTGGGAGGCACTTAAGGTGAGTGAACAAAGCTTGGAGTTTCACAGGCCTCAGTTGGAATTCCTGTTCCATCCCTGACTAGCTCTGCGATCTACAGTAAGTTCTATTTCCCTGAGCCCTATGTCCTCACTTGAAAAGTGAAGAATCAAATCATATCTTACCTTGCGCGTCTGTTGTATTATATATGGACATGTATATAGAGTGTAGAAACCCTTTAGGACGATTCCTGGCGGACAGTAGATATCCAGCAACCATTGGCTTTTATTGTTAACTTTTGACATGCTGGAACTGTGAGCAGAAGTGAACTTAGAGGAGAGGAATCAGGAAGCCAAGATGAAGAACAAAGGTAAGATTGGGGACAGACGTTGAGATCATGAAGCATTCTTAAGAGGAGCAGTGAGAGACTGTACAAGCTGCTAGTGACCAGAGGTCAAAGCACAGATGTGGCCACTGACTTAACAGTGCTGGGATCAAGGAAAATATGCACCAAGTTTTCTTGACCATGATGTGGTGAAAAGATACATAGCAAATGTTTATTGTATGCTTTTCACAACAGCCCTAAGTTGGGTACTATTATAATGGTTCCAATTTTCAGGTGAGAACCATAAGGCAGATAGTTTAAATGACTTGCCTAAAGAAACACAACCAAAAAGTTGACACCAATCAACCTGAGACAAAGATTATTTACCTATTAGAGACTCCCCTGCCCATATAAGCATCAAAGTTCAAATGTCTCAAGCCGAACATATGCAGCCTTTTTCTACAGCACTCCCAATCCTGCCTGTCCTGACCATACTCCACCCACTTTATTATTTCACTTGAGGTGCTGCCATCCACCCAGTTACCCAAACTCAGAACCTGAAAGTCATGTTTGGCTCCTCCTTCCCAGCCCTCCTAATCCACTCAATATTCAGGGGCTGTCAGGTCTACCTTCTTTATCTTTTGAATTTGGTCATTTCTCTCTACAGACATGAGAAACCTAGTGGAGGCCAAAAATGGCTCTCACCTAGATCACTTCTGAAGCTCCCTCGTGGCCCTCCTGCCTTCAGTCTTCCCCCCATCCCCGTGGTGTTTTCTCCACCCTAGTCAAAAACTTTTTAAAGCTCAAATGCAGGGAATGACATGACCATATTTGAGCTTTGAACCCTTCCTTTGACCTTCATTGCTCTCAGGAGAAAGTCCAAGCTCCTCAACAAGGCATTCTAAACTCTGTAGAATCCTGTTTCTGTTTGCTATTGAGCCCCAATTCTCGCCATTTCAATCTTCTTCTCCTGTTGCACCAAACTTCTCGTTGTGTCTTAAAAACAACCCTCCTGACTGATTTTTTTTTTTTTTTTTTTTTCCAGTTTAATACCTAGTCCTGGAGTCACCTCCTCCAGGAAGCTTTCTGTGATCCTACAGGCTGGGTTAGATGTTTCTTAGTGATCCTCTATTCCCTTATGAATATTGCTGTCACTTCATTTTAAAAATTAATTTATGATTATTCTCATGTTCATCTTCTCCACTAGTTGGGAAGTTCTTGTTGAGAGAATGGACTTGAATTCCCAAGAACTAGCACATAGTAAGCCTTCAGTGAATGTTTCTTGAATGAATAAATAAATGACCAACTTTCCTAACGTTACATTATAAGTTCTGAAACGAACCAAAATACATTTTACTCTAGAACCCATGTTTATACCATTATTGTATTTGCACATTAGGGTGGTTAAAATCCTTCAAGGGCTAAATTTTAAGGGGCTAAATCCTATCATAAGGTTTTTCTTCCACCTCTTGAAATTAGTTTTAATTTTTCAGTAATACATTTACATGACTCAGTAATCAAACAATGCACAAAAATATTTGGTCAAAAGTATTGTTCCCATTTTTCCCTTCTACCTTTCCAATTCCCACTTTCTCTGACCCAAGGTAACCAATCTTGTTCATTTCTTATATCTTCTTTCAGCTTTTCTTTTTGCAAATGCATGCACATGTGAAGCTATATATTCCTCTTTACTTCCGTACTTTTAGAAAGGTATTTAAATTTTTTTCAAATAGCTCTGCTTTTTCTGAAGTGGATATGTATTAGAAAAAAGAGCTTGTCAGTAGCCAGCTTGAATGAATTCACAGAGAGAAACTTGGAAGAGGACAGCTAGGTATTCAATGAGGGAGGGAGATAATCCTGCCTGCACACTGACTTCTGGGGATGTGCAGGGTCCTCCAGGACAGAGCCTATGGTCCGGGTATCGCTCATAGGCAGATTCTCAAGCTCCCTAAAGTTACATTTTCTCTGGAACTCTCCTAGGCCACTCCCCCATGATGCAATATCTGGGTTTGGACAGAAAGGAGGGTGCTTCCAAGCCCGCCTTTTCTCAGCTTCCTGGGCTGGTTCCAGAACAATTCGAGCTTCACTGAGACTCAGACCTCAGCTCCAACATTTGCATTCTGAAGAAAGACGGCTGAGATGGACAGAATGCTTCATTCTGGAAATAAACAATGTTCCAGGTCAAACTGAATCTACCAAATGCAGACTTTCACAATGATTCTAGAAGAAGTCTGGACAAGTCTTTTCATGTGGTTTGTCTATGCATTGATTCCATGTTTGCACACAGGTAAGTATGAATTAGAATACATCCAATAGTTTGGGCCTTGAATATAGGTTAAGAAGGCAAAAAATATTTTCCCAGGGCCAAGGGTTGAAATATCTGTACAGAATATCTTATGTCTGTTTTATAAAAGATTTCTTATCTCCTAAACTTCTATTCCCACATCCCAAAGAAAAGGCCTGCATTCTGTTTGGAAATCTCTCTTCTTAATGTGCACAGAACAATCTAAAAAGAAATCATCAAAATAAATGAAAGCAGAGCTCTGTGCTCTTTGTTATTTATCTGATCATCTGGTTTTAAAGAGTGCAATGTACTGTCAGAATTCTGTGTGTGTCTTGGAGATGTTAACTATAAGAACAGATTAAAACAAAGATTCTAGCAAAATACACATGAATAAAAAGACAATTTGTGAGCTTAATATTGGGTACAAGACTTATAAAAATTGGATTTCTCTCCTGGTCATTGAAGAAAAGGTACTCCATAGCATTTTAAAAAATATTTGGTTTGGGACATTTTCCCTGCCAGTGAGATTACATAATTTTCTCTGCTCCACTCCTGGTTGCTTGTACCTACCTGCTTTATTGTCTTAAAATTGCAACTCCTTAGCCTTTGAAGTTTGTTCATGTCAAATCACGTTTAAGAGAAATTTCTAATTTTGATACTCCAAGGCACTAAGCACTTTGCAGTGTTGATGCGAGTCTGGAGTTCTCTCTCTCTCTCTCTTTGTGTATGTGTGTTTTACACAGAACAATTTAATTATTCTAGTTAGTTTAAATCAGGCAACAAATCAGTACTAAGATAATTTGCAAAGATATGGAACTGGCTTAAACATCAAATTTATGGTATTCTTTTCTAGCTTAAAAACCTTCACAGCTCCCAGTTGTTCAGCACATGATGTCCAAATTCTGCTGTTTGTCTCATCACCCAGCATATTCTGGCCCCATCCTGTATTTAACCCTATTTCTCACTGCTCCTTGAAAACAAATAAGGACTACAAGCAGCTGCTGGCTTAACAGTCAGCATATTATACCTTCATTTCCTCCTCCTGACCTTTATTTATCATTTCCCACCAGAAGCACCATCTTCAGCTTTTCCGTCTACATCTTTCTGAGACCTCACTCTTCTTTGACACCAGGTACTTTAGCTTCTGGGGTTACTGCTCTTTCTAGCACTGGCCGGGAGGGCCAGGGCCTAGGCATCTTTTCTGGTGTCCCCACATCCCCTAGCATAGGCTAAACGTACTGGTTGTTTGGTTAGTTCGTTGGTTGGTTATTTAGTTGTTGGAATAAAAATGCTGCCAGAAAACATTCCTCCACTAAGCTGAAATGAGAAGATATGAGGCTGAATGAGAAGAGGAAAGCCCAACATTTTTTGACTTGACATTTTCTTCAATGACACCATTCTTTTAAGTCTTTTCTTGAAAACTCCTGTTTTAAACAGATCTGGAGGTGAGTGTGCACTTCTGACACTTATAAACTTACATAGAAAACACCTCCCCCAAAACAAAAACCTCAGTGGTGAGACCACAAGGATGTCAGAGCCAGAACGACCTGTGTGTGAGTTTTGCCTCTATCACTCACTAGCTCAGGACTCAAACATCAGTTTCCCTACCTGTGAAATGATCATAATAGCCACCTTGAGGTTGTGAGAGGTTAAATAAGATAATGCAAACAAAAGCACTTGGAAGACTTCAACACTTCCTCACGCCCAAATGTTAGTTATTATTATGTTGGTTATACAGCTGGTGTTATCAGTAGATAATTGCTTTAGCTGAGGTTGCCTTTATACAGTTTTGGCCATTTCCTCTGGATTGTGTAGTTGCCTGTGATGAATTCTGCAAATTCTAAATGAAATTCTATTAGTTACTAGATCACTGGTCAGATGGGTAGAGTTGTGGCTGTCTTTCATAGAAATTTGCCTTGCCCTGTCCCTCCCAAATAATAGTGTGTGATTCAGGAAGGTGATTCTGCTACCAATAGTAATAATAAGGACAATCAAAATGCTATTTCTGAGTACACATTGTGCCTTAGGTTAGCAAAAATGTTCTCTTGACTTCTCACATGAATCCTGCAAGGTAGGTGTTATCCCCATTTTACATATTAGGGACAGAGACTAAGAGAGGTTCAGTTATGTGTTCAAGTACATATATCTAGTAAGTGGGGGATTGGGATTTGATGATGGTTTGTTCTGCTCCAGAGCCTGTGCCCTTTATACTTCTCTGCAGAAGCTGAGGCATTGGAACAAGCCAGAAGGAGGGAGGAGGGACAAGGGAAAGGAAATAAAGAAGATGGTGCTATCTTTTCTAATGCATTTGCCTTAAAGGCTGTTGGAGGGAAAGGTGGCAAAAGAGGATCCAAATGAGGGGAGTGGACATCAGACACAGTGAGGGTCCTTCAGAGAAGAGATGCAAAGATTTTTGCCTGGGAAGGTCACCCCAGGGCTTTATGGTGGGCAGCCTTGATGCTACTTCCCTTGCACTGACTCACTCAAGGTTTTATGAAATAGGTGTTCAGCAGCAAAAAGGATCTAATTTAAAGATGAATGAAGGATTAGGAAAAGAGTTAGACCTAGGCTAATTTCCCTAAGGAAGCCAAAGCGTAGTTTACTTGTTCAACTTTCATTCATTTAACACCATTTATGTACCAGGTTCTGGGATGTGTGCTGATTAGAGAGATTTTAAATGCTTGTATTCAGGGAGCCTAAAAGTCTGCTGGGAAGTACACTAAAGTCTTTGGTATTTGGGAATTTAATAAAATTTTAATTATTCTTTAGCAACCAGAAGTGAAGTCTAGATCAGTGGTTCCCAATCTCAAATGCACTTTGGAATCACCTGGGGAACTTTTTAAAAGCTAAATTCTGGGACTTCACAGCTAGAGATTCTGAATTACTCTAGGGTGCTGCCTGGATGTTGGGACTTTTTCAAAACTCTGTGGGTGGGGCTCCTTAGAAAAGTGATTCATTCCAGGGCTGGGAAGGGAAAAAACAAGATGAGACAAGAGCATTTTGTGGAAAGTAATGAAATGCTTAAAAAAGGATGGGGGCCTAAGTTAACAGTTAACATAGTATCCTGGATTGGATCCTGGGATGGAAGAAAGACCTTAGTGGAAAAACTAGTGAAGTTTAAATAAAGTCCGGAATTTAGTAATAATGTACCAATATTGGCTTTTTAGGTTTGACAAATGTATTATGTTTACATAAGCCGTTAGCATTCAGGGAAGCTGGGGGAAAGATATATAGGAATGCAGTGTACTCTCTCTGCAATTTTTCTGTAAATCTAAAATTATTCCAAAAATTTAAAAAATCTATTTTTTTTTTTTTTTTTTGAGATGGAGTTTCACTCTTGTTACCCAGGTGGAGTGCAATGGCACAATCTCGGCTCACTGCAACCTCCGCCTCCTGGGTTCAGGCAATTCTCCTGCCTCAACCTCCTGAGTAGCTGGGATTACAGGCACGTGCCACGATGCCCAGCTAATTTTTTGTATTTTTAGTAGAGACGGGGTTTCACCATGTTGACCAGGATGGTCTCGATATTTTGACCTTGTGATCCACCCGCCTCGGCCTCCCAAAGTGCTGGGATTACAGGCTTGAGCCACCGCGCCCGGCCAAAAAAAATCTATTAATAAAAATAACATGAGTAAAAGGGGTGGGAACAAGTCAAAAGGACACACTCAACTTGAAGGTGTTCCCATTGGCCAAAAGCTAGAACAACTTGAGTAACAAAATAAATAACAGTAGTGTTGGACTTTATAGAATAAATTAAAATATCCACAAGTCCATATTGGCAAAAATAAATAATTGAATAAATGGTAGAGAAGGAAAATCTCTTTCTAACAAAAGAATACAATTAAATAAAATATCACTACTAGAACATCACAGCAATAATTGTTACAAGAAATATCCATCAGTAGATGTTAAAATTAATAGATGAAAATTTGAGGAGAAATGGAATATTTGCACAAAATATCTCCCCCAATGTATTTATTAACTACATAGGGGAAAATGGTGGCTTTATAGTAGAGATAGTTTCTTAATCAAGTGATCAGGGCACCTAACATCACCAGTAATAAGATGTACTGACACTATGTACTCTCTGTGAGTGTGTGGAAAAAAACGTGTAGATACGTTCTACAAAACAACTCTTAAAAAATGTTAAGGTCTTAAAAAAGACAAAGATAGACTGAGAACAGGTTGGAGGAGACTAACCAGACATGACAGGTAAATGGAAATTCTGGATTTGATCTTGGCAAAAAAAAAAAAAAAAGCATTAGGAGAAAAACTGATGAAATTTGATTAAATACTGAAGCTTAGTTAATATTGCATTAATATTGAAATCTTTAATTTCTATATGCTATGGCTATGTACATATGGAAGGCTGAGTGAAGAGTATATGAGAGCTCTCTGTACTGTTTTGCAAATCTTCTGTAAGTCTGAAATTATTTCAAAATATAGTTAATCTGTTCATCATTTTACTGGGCTAACATCAAGGTATGGGCAATACTACATTCCTTCTGGAGGATTTGAGGGGAGAATCTGTTTCCTCCTCCCATGGCATGAATATACTACAGTTTGTCTAACCATTCACCTGTTGAACGACATCTGGGCTGATTCCAGCATGACTGAATATTTGTGTACAGGTCTTATGTGATGTAAGGTTTTCATTTCTCTGAGATAAATGCCCAAGAGTGTAATTAGATAATATAGTAACTACATGTTTAGTTTTACAAGAAACTGTCAAACCATTTTGAAAAGTATCATTTTGTGTTACCACCAACAATGTATAAGTGATCCACTTGCTCTACGTCCTTGCTAGCATTTGGTTTTGTAACTTTAAAAACTATTTTTTTTTTTTTTTTAAATAGAGATGAGGTGTCACCATGTTGGCCAGGCTGGTCTCGACCTCCTGACCTCAGGTGATCCAGCCATCTCAGCCTCCCAAAGTGCTGGGATTACAGGTGTGAACCACAACGCCCGGCCAACTTTAAAAACTTTTAGCCATTCTGATAACT